AGACAGACTCATTTCATAAGACTGTCCTCCCCCTCCCCCATGTCACCAGATAACCCTGATTGTGATTTTAAAATTTCCAATACAATATGGCACCGTGATGACAATGTTTGTTAGTAGTAACATGATTACAGTGAACAAGACTGTTTAAGACTTAAAATTTTCACAGTTTAAGTTATAGCATGTCCCGTAACAGACTTTGTGATACTATATTCATGCTCTTAATAGTGTATTAAACCAGGATAAAGCCTACCTACATAGCTGTGTGTGTGTGTGTGTGTGTGTGTGTGTGTGCATGCGTGCACATGCATGTATTCATGTGTGTGCATCTACTAACCTTTCACAAACCATACCAAAACACCCAAAATAGCCAAAACGAAAGTCCAAACAACGGTTAATGCAACTCTATCCAGCTCCATCTTCTGTATCTTGGACTAAGTCTATTTCTGTGATGCCATTTTATTTACTAACATAGGATCTTTTCATCCTAATGATTTCCCCACAGGTGAGCCAGTTGATCTTTTAGAAGTATAGCTCACTATGGTACAACTCCTAACCTCGGCATCCAAGAATTAATTGAGTCAGTCAGTTTCTCTTTCTCAGTCTATGAAGTGGTTCTTAATACCTCATAATACCAGAAAAGTAAGGCTGAGTCAGCTGCACTTGTACCCTCTGTGAATTTTTGTTTAAAGAAATATTCTCCATCACAAAACACAACTTCAGTAGCTATAATAATGTCCGACACGCCTTCATAATCCGTGGGACATGGTCCTTGGGTTAATAACCAATTTCCAAAAACTAAAGCCACTGTTTGGAAAAGATGAAGAAAAAAAGTCTGTTGTATTTCCAAAATCTGTGATAAAGTGCTGTAACAGTTATGATTCAGGCTCACAGGTAAGCTGTGCCACAAATCATGACTTGGTATTTGTATGGCACACTAAGTACTGGAAACCCAACTTAGTCAGCTACACATGAATAATAATACCCCCGAAAAAGATTCCTCAGTTCACAAGCATGTTTTCCTACGTAAATCAAAATGTAGTGTTTGGACGGAAAACTAAGTCAGTTGACCGCACTTGCATAATCCGCTAATAAACACACGTCCCAGTCACATCTCTGGCCACAAAGGCATTTCCCATGCTTATGGACCCAAAATACACATCTTGGTTCCGCCTCCAAAATACAATAGCCCATCAATGAAGCTCACTGAGTCTACTACCGCCTCTTACTACTGCAAACAACAGGAGAGTTTTTGTTGCGTTGAATGGTGTTAAGTGCATCCTCCCTATTGTTGAGGACAGTCACAAAGAGATGATATATATTTATGTGTATACACAGCCTGTAACCGCAGACACCATACTGTGGAATAGGAGCAGGGAGAACCGCAGGCTATTCTACAGGAACTCATCTACTCCTGTTTCTTTCCTCACAAAATTACTGACCCAGAAGGATGCAGGGGGAACAGAAAACAAGGTATAAATGCCAAATATCACGGGAGGTGAGAGATAACTATCAACCTGATCACAAACACAGTCATCAGTGGTTTTCATCTTTGGAGTAATATCTTTTTTTATGCATTTGTTTTTTTCCTCAACATGTTTTTTCCTCAAAATTAAATCATGTTAGTTTCATTTTTGAATTAATCTCTTTAGGTTTTTTTTTTCAAAATCATGAATCTAAATCACAGTTTTCAAAGTTTAGTTTCATCCTTATAAATTTGATATTTTCTTCAAAAACATTAATCTTAAACTATCACCATTGTCTAACCTTGGGCCAAATGATATTTCACTTTAATCTTGCCATTATATGAAAAAGACTTCTTGGGTTCACTTGCATCTAGTTTTATTTCTGCTCAACTCAATAACTAATTTTTATACAAAACCAATCAAGAACCTAGTAAATGATATCAATAACAAAATCTCCAATGCAAAAGAAATCAACATATTTTCCATAGTCATACCTTCCACAAGCAGGTAAAGCCCAACCTCCTAGTTAACAGTTTGATTCAAAGGACAGAAGGACTATACACACACTGTGTGATATCCGAGGGGTGTGATCAGCACCTTCACTGTACACTATACTTACATATACATGGGCACAGTGATCCTAACCCCTCTCCTGCTCCTCTCGTCAGGGTGCCTAATACATTCCCCATGTGTCCAAACACAGAGGTAAAAAAATCTTAAATCAACCTCTAAAAATACCCAGCAATACTAGATATTCCTTTTGTGTCTAAAGAATTTGTGACCTGACCTTCTTCAAAGTCACGATTTTAACAAAAGGACCCACAAGGCACTTCCCTGTTCACAGTCATTCTATAGAAAAAAAAAATGTACGTGTGTAAATATATAAATACCACATACCAAACTTTCATCCTGAGACCCTGGTATCGGTCAAGAGATAAAACAATACTTCAAGACTAAGTTAAGTATCAGTTAGGTCCAAGATGTTGACACAGGACACGCCAACAAACAGACAATAAGACCTTTTATTTCTGTCCCGTGGAGAGCCATAATAAATCACACCTACACCTTGTGACAACAGTGACACAAAATAGACATATAAATTACCCCAGTACACTGTCAATTACCCAAGTGTGTTAAAGTAGCTTCAAGATTTACCTTAGAAACCAACGACCTCCGCCCGTTTTGTAAATCTCTGCGTTAAAACTGTCAGGGCATCCAGGCCGTCCGTTTGTTGGTTAGACTCAGGCAGTGCACCTGATAATTAACTAGCCTGGCTTTGGTGACGTAATTTGAAACAAAAATATCCTTACCTGTCATCACTTTCTACCTGAGATAAGCTCCCCTGGTTAAGAACATAAATCTTTCAGCTGATCCCCTGGTAGACTATATATGCAGCATAGAGTGAGAAACCTCCATTAGTCATGGGAGAGGTGTAGAAGTGTCCCATGTGGAAAATGTAACAGTTTGTGTAATAATAAACTTTTGGGACACCAGTATTACAGTTTATCACAGTGATATCACTGGTGGGTTATCATGCTACTCAAAATAGAACAGAATACTCTCTACAATAAACAAAACTTTTTTTAAAAATAGTGTTAATTCTGGATAACTGATCACATTCAACTAGAAAAAAATCTGACTTTCAAGAAAAAAAAACTGACTTTCTTCTGCAGCAGCCTGTGTGGTCTACACCATCTGATGTAACTGATGCAGGGCCAGGATGGTGGCTGACAGTAACAACATGGTATTAACATCACACACCTTGGTGACCTTTTATCAGACTATTTACCTGGTACCTACGCCTGCGATTTACAAAACCTAGCAAAAGTTTGTACCATTAAGTATAAAACATACCCGACCTGGCCTGACCTCCTACTGTTATCTCCAATGTGTTAAAGGCAGGTAATGCTGTCATAGATAACCTTGGCACGGTGACAGGTCTATCCACCACACCTGGTACATCAGGTACCCATGCAGGGGAACAGGTTTACATCAGGTCTATACCCACCACACCTGGTACATCAGGTACCCATGCAGGGGAACAGGTTTACATCAGGGCTTTTTTTTAAACATTTTCTTTTTTGTGGAAGGGGAGGGGGTGTTACAGGTTTACACAACAAAAGTTGGAGCAATCTAGGGCCCCATTGCTTTAGACCAACTTTTCTCTTTACATGTTCATTCAAGGTACACTCAGAATGGGGGACTAACTAGTCTGAGGGTTAAATATGGCAATCTACTACAAAGCTTGCTGTCTAATCCACTAATAGATACTGAATAGATATCCGTTGGGGAAGTATTCAAGTGAGTCAGCCATATTTGGCCCTCAGACTAGTTAGTCCCCTATTTTGAATGGGGCCTTAAATGAATGTGTAAAGAGAAAAGTTGGTCAAAATAAACTTAAATACTGAATATAAGTCCACTTTGAGTAAAACTTAACCTGTACAACTTTCATGAAAAACATGTATATTTCTATATTTTGTAAAACAAAATCTTTATCTTAATATTTCTTCTTGGCATTAACAAAACTAAATTCTTTCCACTCAAATATTTGAAAGAAATCTCAGCAGTGGAACTTTTTACAAGTGGTAGCATTCACCCCTATCTGAGAGTCCCCATTGTGTACAGGGTACAAAGTGAATGAAGCACAACAACTGCAATCACACTGGTTTAAAAAAAACCTAAGCCTGCTGCAACTGTGTCATGTCTGCTATGGGCACATTCTACCCCACCTGACCTTGCTAGCCTGCTTGCCATTTGGCTAACCATAGTTTAGTGACATTTTTGCAAAAGTTATGCCAAATTAACAAACAGATGTCCACACCTTTTTTTATTCAGTAAACAATGCTGACTTTTGATTGGGCTATTTTTCTGAAATAAAACAGCAACTTTAAGCATCATCATGTCAAAGAAAAGCTAACATCTGCAATTTCAATCTTTACCTCAAGCTTCGGACCTGGAGGGCATCCAAGTACTCACACAATTTTTAAATAAAAACTTCTTTTCTGAGAAATCCATAATACTTAAACATCAGTCAGCCAGTGATATGAGATAAAAATATCTTTATAACACCTATGAAAGGAAGTGTAACAGCATAAAAATTGAAAGATAAAAAACTCTAAAAAATTAATGTGTGTATGCACACAAACTCATGCACACTTTTACACACACACACACACACATACACACATACACACACACACACACACACACACACACACACACACACACACAATCAGTGCTGGGATTTCAACACTTCTTAACCCATCTGTAAGAAAGGTCAGACTCAAAAATATTGAGTGAAAATACTTCTCATAGCCATGGCTTTTATGCCTGCAGGTTTGGAAATTAACAACCTTTCCAATGGACAGAACCATTGGCTTCAGTCTGGGTATGACATTTAACAGATTCACAAGGGAATTCATTACTTAAAGAATTATCTTCCAAGACTGTATAATAAAAAATGCACTTAAAATAAAAAAAAAAATTGACAATAGGCGAGTAAATTTCCTTTTATGACAACACATTAGAAAAACTTACCAGAAACGGAGTCTTCAGACTTGTTTAATTCTGATTTACGCTGTTCACTCTTGTCCTTCCTGGTCTTTAAATGCCGATGGACGCCATCTGCATCCCTGGTCTTCTTTTCTTTACCAGTATCTATGGGTGAAGTAGCACTGGGAACCACCTCATCTTTCTCACTGGCTTTTTTATCAGGTGTAGAATGTTGTGTGTCTGGTATGCTATAAGTGTCTTTTTCTTTTACAATGTCTCTGCCATCTGCGGAGATGCTCTTTTCAAGTAGCTTTTTAGCACTCTCAGCTCTAGGAGTTATGTGTGTTTCAATAAGGTTCTTATTGTCAGTAAATGTATTGCTTTTTTCGGATGTTTCTTTTGTCTTCAAACTTTCTCTACTACCTTCTACAGAAGAATTTCTCTCAGACAACTTTTTGTCACTCTTTGTGATAGCTTGTTTATTGCCAGAAATATCAATGTTTTCTTTTTTCGCTTCTCTTCCAAAAGACCAAAACTTGGTGCTATCTTTCTCTGTTTCTCTTTCCGTTGACAATTTCCTAACTGGTGTGTCACTTTTCTTATTTTGAGATGACTTGCTCTCATTATCTGCCTGTCTGTCAAGAGAACTCATCCATGGTTTGCTCTTATCTGTTTTTCTCTCAAGAGAACTTGTCTTTGAGGTTTTGTCAGGACCTTGCTCTGGAGAGGTCTTGTCAAATGAACTGGGTATGTCTGTGGCAGTGCTCTTTTTGAATGGTAAGGAGACTTCCTCCATCACTTGCTCCTCTCTTGGCGCCATCTTGTTGGAATTCAAGGTAGAAGGCACGTCACTGTCCACAGGTTTCTTCCTCCCGATAGATCCACTTCTGAAAGAAGAGATCTGTCCTTTCTCCTCAGAAGGGCTTTGCAAGGGAGATGTCTTATCAGAAATGGAAGATCTTTGGATGATGTCTTCTGAAACAGAATCTTTCTTTTGTTTTCCCACCACTTTTGTTTCCTCTTTTCCAAATCTATCTTCCTCGTCAAGGTTTTTGTGTGAATAGTCATCATTTTGGGTTTCAAGGATGAAAGATTTTGATTTGTCGTCTGCTCTGCGTCTTCCTATGATTTCTTTTCTTGATTCAACTAAGGAGTCTGCTGTACGCTTAGCCTTTTCACTTTTGGTACTTAAACTGAAAGAAGGAAAATATTACATTTTCATTAAAAGTAAAACACAGATAATATCTTTATATAAGCGGAGAAGAGAACATCAGTTTTTGGAAGATATAACCATTCAAAAACATATTGGGAATAGAGGACATTTAATGTATCAGTCCTTGTTATGCATAAGTCTATATCTAATACAAAGATACTCAAATATTTCTTACAGTATGAAAAGCTTTATAAAACTATGCCTCATGACTTCAGAACTTAGGTATATTTCCCTATGGAATTCACACTGTTACTTCTAGGCATAAATCACATAAAGAGCTCTTTGCACCATACAAGGGTTAATCAAAAATACATATTCATGAAACATTATCGACTGCTTTTGACAGAACAATATGTGTGCCAAGACCAAAAAACTACTAATTTCATGTCAAGTCTCCAGTTCATACAACCATAAACTTATTTTGTCCTTAAGGGGTGGTTGTTAAATCAGCTCTTAATACATATTGCTATTATCAGGTAGAAGCAGGATATACAGTTAACACAGTCCATTATTTACCTATCAGGGCCACATTTTTTTTTTACACTAGGTGATCACAGATATTTTTACTGGCAAATTTTGTATGCATTTTTGTCCTGTGAGATATTTAAAAAAAAAAATTAAATTTAAAAAAGAAAAAAAAAAACATCATCAGCCAGCTGTTGGCCTTGGGGTTGCCTTGTACATGTTCCTTGTACATATTGCCTTTAAAAGTGGCTTTGAAGATTTTTTTCATGAAGAACCAGTTTATAAGGAGAATAATCCATGTCATGTTGGTTGACTCCCAAAAAATACTGTTTTAGTTTAAATAGCAATTTCTATATGACAATTAACTTTTATATTGTACTGAAATTCTGATCTCCTTTAACTTGACATCAACTCAGATTGATGACTGCTACAGATAAGGTCAAGGGAGTGGCCATATTGCTAATGTACATATTATATATTAAAGAATAACAGGAACACTACAAAACAACATTTTTCTTAGCATGCTTTCCCATAAAAGAAATAATTGGAAAAACTAGAAATATGCACAGCTGTGATACCTGTGGTTTGACATGATAGACTACAATGAAAAAATGCCCTTGGCCTGGTTGATATGTAGAACTACAAAACCCAGTGAAAGGGAGTTTGAGTTATTACTGCAAATGTCCAGCTGTGTTTACATGTATAGGAACAGCAACAGGTCCATAAAGGCAGCCATGAGCATGGGTGGATCACGTTCACAATAGGTCTAAATTAGATCATAAATAGGCAATCTTACTTCATCAGGCAGCCAGATTACTTAACATGGGAGCTAAACAGATGGTGATCCTTTTTAACCCGATTTACATGGCTGGAAAGGTCATTTTCTGTTTTTCATCTGATCTACAAGTTATGAATAGGACTTTAAGCAGTACTTCCATAGCAGCCTTGTTTGTGTCTTGATGACCAGTATCTGGAGAGCAGTATCAAAAATTTCATACCTTCATTCTTCTCCTCGGAGGCTGGATTAAAAACTGGTGAAGCCCACATGAATTTGATGCTCCAGAATTATTTCATAACAAGTGCCCCCACCCCCTCCACCGCCTATATACTCAAATAGGTAAACATACTAACTGCTTCCCTGTCTTCATTTTTTTCTTTCTTTTTTAGTTTTCAAATCAGTTTCAACATTTCCCCGTAACCAAGGATAACAGAAGCCAGGATTTTACAGCAAAATAACCAGCTGAAAACTTATTTTGTCCTTAAGGGGTGGTTGTTAAATCAGCTCTTAATACATATTGCTATTATCAGGTAGAAGCAGGTGTTAATCTCAGCATCTCTGGTAAATTCTCATTTTCCCCCCTTTCTATCAAGTAAATGGTAAAATATATAGAGCTATAAAGGTTTATCATTTCCTTCCTTAGACACGCTTTCAATAAGACCTTTTCATGCTGTTTTAAGAAAATTTAAACATTGCAGTCTTGTTTTGTCTAGTTCAGACTATTTAAGCCATATTATACACAATTAAATTCTTGAGACATGTGAAAAATAAATCCTGTAAATTTAATTTTTTGAAATATTAAATAAACATCTGCAGTATTCCTGACTAAATCAAATTTCCAGGGTTGATTAAAATGTCCATACAAATAGATCCTTTTGCCCTTCATACACATCAATTAACAAAAGTCTTTAAAAAATTTTTTTCTCAGTATCATATCACAGTAAATGAATGTTTATTTTATTCATACTAAATTTGGCCACTTCAAATAATCCATAAAAAAAAAAAAAAAAAAAAAAAAAAAAAAAAAAAAACAACTCCACCCTCTCTCAGCTCCAGTCATGCAGAAAGCTGACATTTCATACATCACAGGCTGCCAGTCCACCAGTACAGGAATACTTCCCAGGGTTTCAACAACAACAACAACAACGATATCTCAACTGACGAACATTTTCACATTTTCGCATTGTGCACATGCGTAAACAGACACCTGTTTAATCATAAGTCCCCACAGGACAAAAATGTTTACCGGACAAAACACATGAACAATCTGGAGAGACTACATGTCATGGAAGGACCTCCATGGTTTGAAATATATCATCACAGACAAGCATTTACACAATGTGCAAATTTTCAAGCAGACACCTGCTTAATCAGAAAACCATGGGATATAAACAGGCGCAACAGTGCAATTAAAGAAAATGTGTCTGCGTTGAAGAACACGCTTTATTCGAAGTCTGTAATCAGATAACTTTCTTTGGAATCTTATGATGGTTTAAATTTAAAAGTTTGTGAATGGGGACTTTATTGTTTATCTTTTTTATGTTTGGAGGTTTGTGTATTTGGGTGTAGTCCTATCTATCAGAGTGATAGATTAGACCTTATTATGACTTAGTAACTCAATACAACTGCCATTAAAACGGGATCGATTAAGTTGCTAAAATACAGTCCTTGTTGTAATGTAATGGAAGAACCCAAGTGTTGTCCTTGAAGGTTTGAGGAAGACAGAGATAGATATACAGTTAACACAGTCCATTATTTACCTATCAGGGCCACATTTTTTTTCTTCACTAGGTGATCACAGATATTTTTACTGGCAAATTTTGTATGCATTTTTGTCCTGTGAGATATTTAAAAAAAAAAAATTAAATTTAAAAAAGAAAAAAAAAAAACATCATCAGCCAGCTGTTGGCCTTGGGGTTGCCTTGTACATGTTCCTTGTACATATTGCCTTTAAAAGTGGCTTTGAAGATTTTTTTCATGAAGAACCAGTTTATAAGGAGAATAATCCATGTCATGTTGGTTGACTCCCAAAAAATACTGTTTTAGTTTAAATAGCAATTTCTATATGACAATTAACTTTTATATTGTACTGAAATTCTGATCTCCTTTAACTTGACATCAACTCAGATTGATGACTGCTACAGATAAGGTCAAGGGAGTGGCCATATTGCTAATGTACATATTATATATTAAAGAATAACAGGAACACTACAAAACAACATTTTTCTTAGCATGCTTTCCCATAAAAGAAATAATTGGAAAAACTAGAAATATGCACAGCTGTGATACCTGTGGTTTGACATGATAGACTACAATGAAAAAATGCCCTTGGCCTGGTTGATATGTAGAACTACAAAACCCAGTGAAAGGGAGTTTGAGTTATTACTGCAAATGTCCAGCTGTGTTTACATGTATAGGAACAGCAACAGGTCCATAAAGGCAGCCATGAGCATGGGTGGATCACGTTCACAATAGGTCTAAATTAGATCATAAATAGGCAATCTTACTTCATCAGGCAGCCAGATTACTTAACATGGGAGCTAAACAGATGGTGATCCTTTTTAACCCGATTTACATGGCTGGAAAGGTCATTTTCTGTTTTTCATCTGATCTACAAGTTATGAATAGGACTTTAAGCAGTACTTCCATAGCAGCCTTGTTTGTGTCTTGATGACCAGTATCTGGAGAGCAGTATCAAAAATTTCATACCTTCATTCTTCTCCTCGGAGGCTGGATTAAAAACTGGTGAAGCCCACATGAATTTGATGCTCCAGAATTATTTCATAACAAGTGCCCCCACCCCCTCCACCGTCTATATACTCAAATAAGTAAACATACTAACTGCTTCCCTGTCTTCATTTTTTTCTTTCTTTTTTAGTTTTCAAATCAGTTTCAACATTTCCCCGTAACCAAGGATAACAGAAGCCAGGATTTTACAGCAAAATAACCAGCTGAAAAAAAATTACCCTAACATAAAATACTGCCGTGATTAGGCATACCTTCTACTCAACTCTTTCAAATAACATTTAAATCCGATAAGACAGTTAATAGCTGTAATCAGCAAACATCAGGCATTCTTGGTAGAAATTGATGTAATAGAATATAACCTGCAACAAGCAGGGCAACCCCATCTGATACGGTAATTAATCACAATTTTCAAACTCCTTACTAATATTTTTTTTCTTGATTTTCAAGTTTTTGTATTTTCAATTTATCACAAAAAAATTAATTTTTGACAAGAGCTTAAGGATTTTTCAAGATTTTCACACCATATTTTTCTGAAAGCAAAAACAAATTTTCTAAAATAGTATTTTTCAGCTTTGTTCAAATTCAGCGAGTTATTACCAACCCTGTTGTCAAAAACTAGAAGCTATCAGACTCTCAAAACTTCTCAGATGACTTTTAGCATGCAAAGAAACTGACTGGAATGAATGCACACTCCACAATGCCAACTCAAACACACATCATGTCAACCTGTGTATAATACTTGAAAAGGGTTTTCAGCATGTAGAACCATGTGTATTTTTCCATGTGGTCGCTTTATGCGCAATTTGGCAGCAGCAACTGCAGAGAACTCCTGCTGGATTAGCTTGTGTTTAACATTTGACACTGAAAAGTTGGATTTTTTTTTACGTATATTTTTTCAATATCTTTTATCTTTAACAGTGATTTATGAAACAATTTTTTTTAAATCCACAATCTGCTACATGTTATTTTTTGAACCTATGGGAAATTGAACATCTTTGAACTTTTGATAAATCATGGAACATTAAAAAAATTCAAAGTGAAATGTAAACTTCTTGTTACAGTTCACAAACATGAAACAATGCCCGTTTTAGTTGCCACCAAAGTTTCAAAATAAAAACTTTTTACTGAACTCATTAAAGCTTCTGAACATATACCTAAGCACAAACAGAAAGGCAGTTGGATATGAAATAACACCAACTTTGTCACGATAACTAACCACAAACCAAAACATTCACCATTTGACTGTTGAAATAAAGGAGAAGCTATCTAGGTACAACAAGAACAAATTGCCTTGCAAAATCTATGATGAAAATAATCAATAAATAAATGAATCAAAATATTTAAAAACTCATTAAATCAAAATAATAAATAAATCTCTCATAGCATTAAACTGCAATCAGAACCTTTTCACTTATTTCCTACTAAACTAAAATATTAAGTCCTTTTTGTAAACTAATCAAAACTATGATCTCACTTGGCATCAAGCTCAAGGTATTCCCATTTCCTACATGCACAAATTGGTCTAGACCATGTATGACATTGCCACATACAAATGCTACAAATAACTGCCCCCAAATAAAAACAGAACCATGTGTATAGTAAGCAGTAGGGGCTATCTAAACCAAGTGAAGAATAAAGATGTCAACTTAACATGTCAACGTCTTTCTTAACAACTATCAACAGTGATTTATAATTATGTTTCTCCTTTGGGTTGATTGCTGCAGTTAGTATCAAGAATAAATATCATGTCTACCATTGCATGTTAGAGTCTTGATGATAGAACAACAGTATATCACTTTCTAAAGTCAACTATGATGATTATTTTTTACATAAGAGGTAAAGCCCATCAATAACTATATATTATGATCAGGAAAGATGGTCTTAAATAATCACACACAACTCCTGTTTCTTTTTTTTGTCTTTTCTGTTTTATAAATACCACCATTAGCTACAAATCATCATATTTAGTCTCCTATCAACTTGCCAACCTTTACTCCAGAGGAAATCATAGTTACCAGTGCCCCATTGCGAGTCCTCTTCTGCTAGCAGACAGTCAGCTAGTATCTCATGTGCTCACATCATAAGTTATTTTCAGAGAAAAAATCCACTGCTAGCAATCCCAGGTCAAGTCTTTTAACATTCACAACTAATAAACATCTACTTTGCTCCTAGCTGGCTGGTTTAATAGTAAACTGCCTGCGAGGGTTAACTCAGCAAGGGCTTACACAGCAAACTAAGCTTTAGGAGAACTGCGTTTTGCCTCGACTTCTTTTTAATGTTCTCCCACTTGAAATGGGATACGGTGCTGTTGCTACCTGAAGTGAGAAAGACAGGCAGGCAGGCAGAAAAAGTCACCAAGCCAAGAAAAAAAGAAAAGCAACTAAATCTCTGCCTCAGCAATGGACGCGTGTGTCATGTTCCCTGCTACCTGTCACCTATTTATCCAGGTGTAACATTCAGGTAGTCACATCTGATTAATTACAACTCCCCAAGTAGATGTGGTTCACCGCTTGTTACTACCATTAACCTTGTGAAGGGAAGTCTGTGTTGTAAGTGAGCAGCAAACATTAGTATTTACAGGCAGATTTCAGAGGCTTAGACAGGCAGAAAACTACCCACAGTGGGAAGTCGGGAGAACATAATTAGCAAACATTCTGGAGATTCTGATGGTAAAGGTGCTCTCCCTAATCCCATCCAACAATATTTCACCTTTTTCATCTTGTACATGCAATTTAGCATGATGTTAAATGTGCTGTGCTTTATAGAATAAATAACTAAAGATAACCAAAAAAGTTGACTGAAATATTCATTGTACAGAATTGTCATCCAATTTTTTACCCTACCAAATGACATTGTACACAAGCCTCTATCATTATTGCAGTTTTGAGATAAAACATTATAGCTTGTAAATAACATCATAAAAGCAAACAAACGATGTTCAATGAGAGCAAATAAAAGCAATTTTAATACAAGGAATTCACTAAAAAAAAAACCCTGAGACAGCTTAATTCTCACTGTTGTAAATTAATCAATTAATAAATAATTGCCAAAATCTAAGTAAGCCCATTTCTGACTTATCCTGACATTTTTATCAAAATCAATCCATAACATTTTAAGTTAGTCTATTAACCAATAAATAAATAAATAAATAAATAAATAAATAAATAAATAAATAAATAAATAAATAAATAAATAAATAAAACAACCTCCTTGGTGGGGGGATATAAACTGCCAGTAATGTGTGCAGCAAGTATGAAGCAAGTCTGTGCTTTGCTTCCTAATCACATAGGCACAGCAGTAGAGAGGTGGGGATCTGGTTTAATTAGCTAGTGCACCTGTATCTCACCTGACTTTTTATATCTTTTGACATCTCTGAATGGTTAAAAATAGTGCACAGCAGTTCATTTCAGATACAGTATCCCACTGGTCTTTATTTAGTTTTTGCCTAATGCATAGGACTTTTATAAGGTAAATAAAAAAAAAAGATGGAAAATAATTTTCTCGAATTAATCACACTACTAGCTTGATGCAAGCAGGTGAGTCAGCAAAATATTTCGGCCTACTCGTTGAATTCTTCAATTTTTTTTAAACATTAATTTCACATTCCTATCCTGAGTGTCTTAAAAGATGTACGTTAAGTGCTAGACACATCAGTTAAATGTCTAAGCCCACTCATTAAATTCCTTACATTTCGTTTCATAATTTTTTGCCAAGCTTTCCTAAAGGAAGTTCAAAGTGATATAGAAGTCACTGTACATGCTTTATGCGGTTATTATCCCTACCTATTCAGTGAACTTCTGAATTTTTTTCATTCTCTTATTTTTTATTACCTCCGCCAAGGAGGTTATGTTTTCACCCCTGCTTAAAACCTAGTAGACATCTGTCAGAAGAAAATTTTCATTTCTCTATTCACATAACACTTCATTTTCTAGTTAAGATGACTGTATAAAAATGAATTTTTAAAAATAATCTAGGAATTGACAAATTTTAGATATTCAAAATGGAACAAAGTTTGGGCTGAAAATGAAACGATCATGTTGGAACAAGAAACTTATTCTCCCTGCATTAAAATGAAGCCCAAACACCCTAAAAAATAACAAGCTTCAATAATTTCAAAACATGTACGATTTTACTCTCAAACACTTTTTACAAACCTGTCAGTTTCGCTGGACACTGAAACCTTGACATTCTGGTTTTCATCAGGCTTGTCTTCAGGTGTGTCTTCTTGGGCGATGATCTCGCTTTTATCTGTGGACTTTTCTGCAGGTTTTTCTTCTTTTGATTCCTCTTTTTCTTTGTCTTTTTTCCAACGTTTAGAATAGCGCAGGTAGGAAGGTTGCAGACCTGCCTCAGGTTCACTGGAAGACGTTGTCTCTGGTCCGTACTTTGTAGACACAGCTGCCAGCTGCTTTCTACGTTCTTCTTTATAGCGAGACATTCGCTCTGCTCGACTCTCTGTGTCAAAGTATGTAGGTTTTTCTGCTTCAGTCAGTGTTGGCTTTTCATTTTTTGAAACATCTGATGAAGAATTTGACTCCTGGGGTTTGCTGCTGCCATGTTTAACTGAAGATACTGCTGTTGGCTTAGAATCAGAGTCCTCAGAAACTGGCTTTTTACCTTCGTCTTTGTAGCGTGACCTCCTATCTGTACGGCTTTCAGAGTTGGTCATGACAGTGTTTACATTTTTTACAACATCAGAGGAAGAATCTGACTCCTGAGATTTTCTGTCGCTAATTCTGTCACGTCTAGTTGTGGTCGCTGTTCTTGATTGAGTCTTGGCATTATCTTTCAGTGATGTCACCTGTCCATTCTGTTCAGCAACTTCTGAAACTGGCCTAGATTTATTCCGCTGTGAAGACAACCTCTGTGAAGATGATGTACTGGAAACCTTCTCTTTACTATCTTCGTTTGTTGAGTCAACAGAAGAATGCGAAGATCCAACACGAGTCTTTGTAGACTTCTCGTGATTTGACGATATTCCTCGTGATGCCCGTGTAGAACGAGTTCCCAAGCTCTCACTGGTGCCAGAAGAAGGCGGAGAAACCCGAGAACTCTTGGAAACATCACCACTGCTGCTTCCTGTCGTTCTACTCGATTCAGCTTGCCGTCGTCGAGAACTTAGAAAACTGGACTGTTTCTCTGGTCCAGCACTTTCTTCAGTTTTTGAAGATGACTTGGAATTTCTGGCAGCTCGAAGTCTTGAAGATAATGTTTCTTTTGGTGGGGTCACTGTGGACCTGTTTTTTCTTGTCCCAGTCCCTGTCCCACCATCTTGCTCTGTGGAATATTCCTTTATCCTTGACCTCCAGTTGTAGCGATCTGACCCCTTGTCTGAATCTTTACTGTCTGTAGATCCTTGCCTTGAATATCTGTGAAAACACAATCACAATCTTTGAAAACACAACCATAATCTGAGGATACTCAATCAAGAACTACTAACACAATTTACCAAAATGCAATGCAGCAATTGCAAAGACGAGCTACAACATACATTGGGCATATCAAAAATACCTAAAATCATATTTCTTGTAAAAGTAAATTAGGCATATGGATTCTTTCATATGCAAAAAAAGTAAAAATAATTTGGCCAAATGTCTGATTCTGACCCTAAGACGTGTATCTTTTAGACAGAGACTCAATTACACAATAGCACATAGATATAAAGGCTCCAGATAAATTCATTAAAGTACACACATCATCATCTCATCAATATAAATATCATAGGACCAAATTTCTCATTCTTTCATGCACTTATTTACCTGCTGGATCCGTTTCTCTCTGTGACACTTTCACTGCTCTTCCTGATAGAACTGTCTGGTCGCAACCTAAAGAGAAAGAAAAACATATGGTAATTGTTAAACACATTCTTAATCTTCTCAATATCAAATATATGTAGCAATTGAAATAGCAATATCCTTTCAGCACAATTATAGCAAAATGACTCATCATTTTATTTAGACTGCAAGGGAATTATATATAGGACATCAGATACATCAGAATTGTTATTTCATATGATTATGGTGTTTAAATTTTCACAGAAACAATTTTACCTGCTAGATCCATTTCTTTCAGTGACACTTTCACTTATTTTTCTGGATGAGCCACTGGAACCATCAGCCCTCAGCCTGGAAGAAAAGAAACAAAATGTGTGTTCATTTTATATTACAAACATCTTCATTTAAATAAGATTATCAGGGCCATAAGCAGATGTATTTCAGAAGTATTTTTCAGCAAAAAATCAAACAGGTTAAGTTTCATGTAGGCTGTTGTGGTAAGCATCAGAAAACCAAGCTGAGGAAGAAAGAATGCCAGGCATGAAAAACATGATGGAAACAACTGATGAACAATATGACATGATCACAAATAGAGTAAGAGAATTACATACATTACTAGAAAAGCACTCAGAGGCAGACCTCCGCCAAGGCAGCTTAATTCTAAATATTTATGAACTGAGTAATAAATGGATCACCATCAAAATCTAATCAATTCTATGTTATCCTATTTCTGACCTATCTTAATTTTTTTTTCAAAATCCACCCATCAATTTCTGAGTATTTGTTTACTGTTAACTAACAACCAATTTACAACCTCCTTGGCAAAAACAACCTCCTTAGCAAAGGCAACAATAAAAAAAATTGCTACACAAAACTCCGTTTGTTGGGCAAAACCAAACACAAACATATTTGCTCCATGTTAAATATACCTGTGATAGTGTATAAATGGAAACAAGAAAGTCACAAATACAGTACCCCAGCTTGGCACCATATCAGGGTTACACCTGTGAACATCATTACTATCACCACAAGAAGCTCCTTTACTGTCAGACAAGACTGCTAGATTCTGTGAACACAGGTATTCTGGACACTTTCACATCATTTCCAACTTAAATACCACTTGGTTAGAATAAGTCACTGCATTAACACATCAAATATGGCTCCCCAAACACAGTCTTAAAACCCTAAATCATTAGTGCAAAGTGCCTAACATACCAGATATTTATCTTCCATTTGAAACTTTTTACTTTATACCCAATCAAATCTATTTATGTACTTTCAAACACTAGATCCAAACCCACTTTCCTGATAATTTTTATTGCAGTTATCCAAACCAAATTTCACCATTCTTTGGTCATTATAACCTTCTTTCTTTAACATCTTTTAAAGGTTATGTACTTGATACAAGGCATTTCAAGTCGCATAATTCCCATCAGTTATAAAACTTGCTTTATTCTGTACAAAAATGTTTACCTCTGTAGGCTCTGTAGATCTCAACAATAAGGACACCTGGTACTTGAAAGAGGCTTAAGTTACACCTGATGTGAACTGGCCTTTTAACCATATCTGGGTTGGCTGAGGATAAGCCATTTACCCAGACTTTACTTGTACTTCTCTCCTAATAATAGGTCACACTTTTTGTACAGCTTGTAACATCATAAGGTAAATGGTGCAATTTTGAGGATAATTGGTGAGATTAGACAGGCGGGGAAAATATCTAAGTTTTTTTTTTTTTTTGCAACATATTTGTCACGTCATATTATAATAATATAAAATTCTGCATTAGTCATCCAAAATAAGAATCATAGCATGTCTTAAAATATTTGTGTTGCAATTTTAAAAACATTTCACTGTGGCATAATATCCATTTTTGTATTAAAAAAAATTAACTTTGTTTGTAAGGGCTGTAATATAAATCTAGCATGAGAAGCTAGCTTTACCTGTTACAATATATGTATGAACCTAATCATCTAATGGCTAATTATATTCAGGTGTCAGGCTTATTTTCTTTATTAAAAAATGGGTGACACACTGAAGCATTTTTTTGGTTTGTAGCTCTAATCCAAAATACATGTTGCAACTTAACCAATTCCTATCCGATTCTTTTTCAATAGTCAAATATTGCATTATATAAGAGCACAAGGTAAGATGATAGGAAAAGCTGTATTTTTACTTTGCTATAATAATAAAAAGTTTTCTATATTAGTTTTCTTTATTGCTGTAAACTATCCAGGGATTGGCTTAAACAGAAACAAACTAAGGCAATGAAATTTTGGCAAAAACCAGTGAAATATTCCTATATGTGCAAAAAAAGAAAATGTTTAGGACTTGATGAAAGTTTACTATAAAAATATATACCCAGTCATTTATAAATTCTAAAGCAAGTCTACAACATAAAACTGTCTAAATGTCCTAACAGATAACTTACTTTGACCTGGAAGCGGAGGACAGAGGCTCAGTCCCCCTGGAAGGGGTATAAGATGTATCATAAGATCGCCCAGACCCCCGGGAACTCCTGCCAGTATCGTAGCTGCTGTATCTGGAGCTCATGGTGCTGTCATTGCTGAAGTCAGCCACATCAAACGTATGACTTCTATTGATGTATGGAGTTCTTAGACTGGATCCTGAAAATATGAAGACAGTGTTATATAATGTGAGTTAATTCATTTCCATTCTTGATTAAAGGTATTCTATCCATAATCCACCTCTAAAATATACCATCATCACAATTCCTATGTTTGCTTCAAAGCTACTTATCTTTCTTGCTTTTCAAGACTGAAAATGATAAAAGCCCTAAAATAAAAGTACCTGACGTTGATATTTCCTTCTGAGCAATTATCCCTGAATAGGAGAAAACAGCTAAGTATTTATTATTATTATTATTATTATTTTTTTTTTTGTAAATGAAAATTTGGCAAGAAAAACCTGGACAGGATGTCGTCAAGGCTTTGTGCATTGATAAAACCCAAATCAGTCTCAGTCAATCAGAGGACGATGTAAACAGGGATTGTGCATGTTGCCTTGAAATTACTGCTCTAAACTGTAACGTCAGGTCATAAGATACTATTGTAAAGCAAAGATCTTATCTCATACTACAAGATGAAAATTTTATTGCCAATTTATCTTAATGCTATTCTGAAAAGAATGTCATTCACTGAAAAACAACTGAATATTAGGTAGATAATACAAGATAACACCACAGTCCAGATAAGTCACCTTACATAAACCTAAACTGTTTTCTGGAGAAAATTTGGTCCCAAAAAACTAAATAGATTCACTTGCACACTCTGGCACCTCTACTCAGAAAAAGAATAACAAATATTCCAAACAGATCCTAACAAGACATTCGCTTCCTTTTACATTATCTAGCTTGGGAATTTCATTATCTAGGTTGGGAATAAAAGTACCTTGTTAGCAGTTTGTTTATACAAGGCTACTGTCAAAGCCTGCCTTCTATAGTCAATAGCTGGTCTGACAAAAAAACTTGATTTCTTTTTAGGGACATGATATTTTAGTCGTACATAAAACTTGACAAAGATGCTGGGGACGAGTGGTTACCAAGTCTTCGTCATGACCTGCTATCAGTTCATTGTGTTCTGTATCAACCTTAAAGGTACCACAATCACTCACTCACTAAATTTGAACAAAACTGATGAATTGTATTTTCCAAAATCAGGTTTTTTCCAGTAATAATTAAAAAGATTGTTTAAAAGTTCTTAAAAAAGAAAGAGTTCAGTTTGCAACTGTACGTATGCTTTTAATGACTCAGTAAATACAATAAGTTCTGAAAAAATAGGATAGTACAGTTAGCATGGAGGATGAGATTTGTTAGCTATTGCCAAATGCAGGATAGTACCGGGTACCTCTTTCATGCAAAAGAAATTTTTTTAAAATTGGGTGCTTTGAAGAGAAGCTGGTACTAGTCTTACAGGAGGGGAGTGAAAGGTCAATAACACAGAGTACAAGGAATGTAAAATACACTGAAAAAAAAAAAAAACATTTTACAAACGGTGTGACAATTAATTTACAATTTTCAAATACTTCTTATACTTATTTACATACATGGTCCATTATAAAATTGTACAAATATTGTTTCACACCTGTAGGGCAATTATCTTAATTCATTAGCCCAATGCAATACACTTACCTCAATGAGCAAGATGCAATGTGCAACAGATATTAATTGTACTAGTACTGCCATTTCCTTTTCCTTTTACCAAAACAAATATCATTTCAACTGCATTAGCATTTCTTTTGAGTGTACTTTTCAGAATCCATTTCTTCACTTGTTAATGGAAAAGTCCCAAGGACAAGAAGTCTTGTGCTATTCTTTACTGCTATGTGTACATTTACCTGAGATGTACCTGTACCAGGTGACTTACCTGAACGTGTCAAATCTCCATCTCCAGTGAGCCTTTGTTAGCTTGTAAGTAGTCAATTTATATAAATACGGATGTGCAAACTGGTGTGAGTAATATCTGTCTGAGAAGCAGATTTAATTAACAAAGGATCTCTCATCTTAACAAAGGTTGTGGTTTCAATATGAGGTAATAAAAAGCATACATACAAGGCCCTATACCACCTTCAAAATGAGCCATGAGAGGGTTTTCACAACACACATAAGGACAGACACAGGGCACGTTCAAACCTGGTCTAACATTAACCAGAACTTGACTACACTGAGTCACCAAATCTCCAGATTGCATTACACTGGATTTACATTAAGTTATATAGTGTGATGGCAATCCCTATGGTATCTGGTCATCTAGTGACATCATTCAGTCTATTTCCAATCTAAGTCTGTCCAGGTGTAAATGTGTCTATTGCACGCACCTGTACAATAGAACAGATCTTACCTAAAACTTAGATACACTTCAAGACTTCATGCCTGTAGACAGCATACACCGTTTATGTACTGCTTGTCGCATTTGGATATTTACTTACGAAATCATACCTTGAATAAATATTGATCATTCATGCTGACTTCAGCGTTAAAATGTAGAATACTTACTGACAACAGTTGCTTAAAACCCTACAGTAACGTTAGCAGTTGGACTTGCAACTTTTAATGACATAACTTGGATAATTCTTAAAAATTAATAAATATGCTTACTTTGACTGCCGCACTGGTTCACCTTATTTATAGTTTTAATATCTGTGAACATTACTGGATAAAATGGAACACAGAACATAGGCAAACTTCAAGCTAATCTCAAAGGACTCTTCTATCTGATCCATCAAAGACCAAATATTTTGTAAAGCAAATGAATCATTGCCTGGGCATTTATTCTAAAACAAAAGAACAACTGCAAAATCATTACAGTTTTATCAAATCACATTTACTTTTGTTTTTTATTTAAAGTCATAAGTAAAAAGTGTGTTCCATAATACTTACACCAGCCCTGTGCATACCTATGTCTCCACTGTAGAATAAATTAATAACTTTCTTTTGTGACATGTGTAAATATGTTGTCTTACTACTTCCCTGGGTGCAGAGTGATCTTATTAATACACACACTCAGTCACATGCACACAAACATGCATGCTTACACAAACAAACATGCATGCCGACACAAACACATACACACAAAAAAATGCACGCATGCACACACTGTCCTTACCTGTGTTGTAGTCGCCACTTCCTGAAACGTATTTGGAACGCAAATAGCCACTGTCGTAGCCAGTGCTAGGGCTGGAGTATTTTTCAGACTCAGAACGAGTGATGTAACGGCGGCGCCCTGTAAATAAAAGTAAATTTACTACCAAAGTTAACAAAATTTAACAATCATATCTCAGAGATGTGTTAAATTCCCTCCACATCCAATTTTTTTTTAAATTTCGTTGCTGAAAATTCTAAGTGCACTTTTGAATTGATGATTGAGAAGATATTTATCAAAACTATTTTCATCATTTTAGTGATAATCTCCCCCTCCTCCCATACATAAATTCAACCCTAGGCTTGTTAAGTCCCAGACTGCACAGAAGGCTGTATACCACCCAGCCACCTTGCCAAAATGATGGAAGCCAAAATGAATGTCAAGTCAATGCATTTCAATTATAATTCAATTCCATGTGCATGTGCCCTGCACGCACGCATGGCTGATCAGCGCGGTGTGTTATTCCTCCCAGGTCAACTGGTGGCAGATAGACACACTGCCTTTCACACCACTTCCACAACTTGGGCCTAGTTTTTTTAACAGTCAGATCTGATTTGATGAATGTTATTCTCATGTAAATTGACACTGACTTCAATGTTTTATCACACCAGGTTTGTAAAATGTTGCCATGCAATCAGCTTAATATGGTGAAGTCCAATGCTTGACACATAGCTCTGTCGTAGTCAAGACATGGGTATCTCTGTTATAATATTAACAAAGAATAAAATTTACAATAAAGAAAATCTCTACAAGGCCTGGTTTTGTTGTGTTACAATGTGAGTTATAAAATCACAGTATACTAAAAGATCACAATTGGCAAATATGAATAGAACTCTCTAAATGTGTAAAACTGCCAATTTTGGATAGTTCTCTAGTGTGTGTGTGTGTGTGTGTGTGTGNTGTGCGTGCGTGCGTGTGTGTGTGTGTGTGCAATTTCAAAATAAAGTTAAGTATATAGAGTTTTGTGCCCTAAATGCATAACATACACTACAGCTGACAGCACTTCAATCATTTCTTATAAAGCTACTGTGACCACCCACCTTCTGTACTGGAGAAATAAGACAGTGCACAGGAGTGCAGGGTGACTTTATTTTCAAAGTGTAATGAACCACAACACGCCAGTAAGTGCTTACAATGGCACCTGACTGGTAAACAAGTATAACACGAGGCAAGCCTGATCACAAAGACAAACTAGTGCATTCTAAACAACACAGGTAGCCCGACCTGCACCTGGGGATTGGGACTGTTTAATTGAATAGAAAATGATGTCCGAGTACATGAATTGTGTTACTGATTGCTTGGACTACATGCTGTGGACAGTAGTTTAATTGCACTTACCATCAACTCTGAACCATTGCCTTACTAACTTGAATGCAAAAGCTTGTTAGACCACAAAAAAGTCTCTTAAACAGAGAAAGAATTATTTAGAAACTCACATATCTACCTAGCCCAAATAACAAACCATTTCAACGAAATGTCACTACTTACCAACACAATTTAATTACTGTTCTGTCACTTGTAATTGTCTGTCTGAAATGGTGCTACTCAGCAAACTACAGTGCCAGTGGGAATTTCTAACCTCTCTCCATGACCCTACACTCACTGAAAGCAATTTCATGTCACAAACCCTTTGAATAGACCCATTCAAATGTGCTGTCACCATTACATATTCAATCCATTGTAGTCTAGTCAACAGGATTTGCAAGTGAAATTTTTCTCCACACTGAAGTGGTCACATTATGTCATAACTTACCCCTCAGGAAAAAAGATGGGAAAACATTTCACAAAAGGCAAACAACACTGAGATTTAAGTCGCATTCAAACCAGGATTACTTTATACCAGAAATATGTCTTAATCACATAATCAGGTGATTGGATAAGAGTTTTAGTGAAAACTTACAGGTCTAGTCCATTTATACTGCCAGCAAGCTTAGGTCGGGTCAAAAATTATCCTGTCTGAACAGGTCCAGCATAGGTATGCCAGTGACAAAGGTATAATCATTTACTCAGCCAGCAATTAAGTAATTAAGTCTAACAGTTCCAACAAGTGGCCTGTTATCTGTTATCACACCATTATGGTATAGTAATTCAACAATTAGGTTATCAACAACACGACTCTACCTGTTATAATTTTGTGTCAATATATGTCCCATGACAACCCTTCCATTGTTTGGATGACTGATGTTTTTCCATTGCAATACCCATCTCTCATAAAAGTCATAATTAAGATTTGTGTTTATATTAATTCATTCTTTATGATGCAGTTTTTAATCACAAAACCATAACATATAGATATCCTTCTCAAGGATACAAACAACCAGTATTCTAAACCTACAGAAAATGCTGTGTATGTGCGCCTACGTGTGTGTGTATGTGCATGTGTCTGTGTGTGACTGTGTGAATGCATGCGTGTACGTGCATGTAAGTGTGCATGTGCATGAGCAGGTATGAGTGTGCACTTGTGTGTATGTAGCATGTCTGAGCATATGACAATGCATGCTGTACAAGTGAATATAATAACTTCAAGCTTGTGAAACATTCCCCTCATTAATGGCAATAAATCCTGTTCTGATGTTAGTAGAAGGTACTGGAGGACATCATTACTGGTATATAAATCCTCTGAAAGATGTTTTACACTACTTGTCAATAAAATCCCACAAAGTTACTCCATAACATACCTCGTATATTCCAATCCAGCTGATCACAAATAATGCTGTAAAAAGTCTGTTAACATTTAATTCCACTTTTCCACTGAGAGGCCTGTTTCAGGTGGCCAGCATAAAATTATATCTAAATTTACCAAACAGCACTATAAAGATAAACATAAGCAGCTATAACCACAGCTTTGCAAATACCACACCATGATAGACTACAATACATCCTTTGACATAACTTTTATATTGCTGCTTGTTAATCCTGCCAGAGGAAGTGTATTCCAACAAGTTTTGATACCTTCAGATACAGGTGCTTTCACCTCAAGACTTTCCCATGTCCACCTCCATCTGGGCTTTCATGTCTTAGTGTCATTTATCACAGTAACCAGACTATGTCACTGTCTTAATCTAACTTGGCCACGCAATGGACACCACAGTCTGGTCATTTCTTTATAGCTTGGCCATGATTTGATCATTTCGTTACAGCCTGGTCATGATTTGGTCATTTCTTTATAGCCAAACTATGATTTGGTCATTTCTTTACAGCCTGATTTAACTTTAGATAACCCTTGCAGGGTCTACAGTAACAAATATGGGTTAAAGCCTGTGGGAACTCCCAATGAAATGACCACAATCACTTTTCAAGCACTGACCACAATTGAACTGTTGGATAATATTAGTGATTTAACAGGACGGAGAGGTCTTTCAAAAGAGGAATGCATGCAAAGCAATACAAATGTTTGTGCCATATTATTGATAAAGGTTTGGGTTTTGTTGATTGAGGAGGGGAGGAGGGGGGGGGGAGCTGACGCCTGGTCAAGTGAGTTCAATGAGTTTATTGATTTTGTAATTGACTTTACAAATGCCGACAATAACCTAATAAGAACTCATTTCAGCTACATAATTTCCAAATGATAAAGGAAACAGGTTCATAGATTTGTCTTGGGGCTTTCTCAAGAAATTTATTCACTGGTAAGTGAACAAAGTACTTAGTCAGAAAACAATGTTGTATCACAATGATGCTGAACAATAAACCCTGTCCAAAGAAGCCATTGTTAGATTATGGTTGTTGTCACAGTGTTGTTTGCCAAGTTTAAACGTGTCTTTAGAAATGGAGACTTAGCAATCAAGCTCCATAACAAAGATCATGAAACCCATCATCTTAGAGAGTTTTCCTTCAGTATACAGTACATCCTCGTACATTAATATCTCATCTAGATGGTCTTGGTATACCAGAAAAAATTATCTCAACATTCTGTTTGCTTTATGAATCATTTTCTATCTCCCTGCTGCCATAATATCCACCATGCTGACCACAAACTGAGAAAAACACTTGTCCTAACATATAAATAAGCTGCCTGGGAAGACCAAATTAACCTGGATACTGTGGCAAAACCCTGACTAACACCTGAGGTATTGGGAAAAGATAGAAATCTGGATCTCCTAACCCAAGATCAGCATGACGGAAACTCTCTTGGTGTAGACAGAGTTGTAGAGATGACCTTGCAAACATGATAACTAAGCATGTCTTTTCTTTTCTTTTTTTTTTTTTTTGTAGTTTCATCTCCGTGTGAAAACTGAAATTCAGGCCACAGATTTTTATCAGATTGTAGCAACATTACCATGCAAGCTATTAGTTACTAGTATACAGCTTACTACTGTATTAACTTACGTACCATAAAAGACAACTTCGTCGATACCATTTCTAATGACAGTGTCTGCCGACTGTGTGTGTGTGTGCATGTGTATGTGTGTGGGGAGGGGGGGGGGGCAAAAGAGTGATTAGATAGGTTTCTCATGGTTAGAAATAGTTACAATGCTGTCTAATCCACGAGTGTTCTTGTCTGTAGCCAGCAATTTCACAAAGGATTCTTTTTCTTTTCTTTTTTATAAAGTGGACCAACAAGAACCTACAGCAGATTCAGAGATAACCTTTTCTACCCACAAAAGCTGTTCTTTTGTATCTCCCCGAACCCCCTTGCCTACAGGATAGATGTTAGATGTTATAAAGCCAACACTACAATACTAGAAAAGTGCCTTTCAATTAAATTCTTAAAGACAAATATGAATCTTTCATTTACTGGCATTGCAAAATTATTAGGAACTTATGATTTACTCCATTGATATATGTCTAAGGAAATTTTACCATCTATATTATGATGCCAATCTATAAGTCTCCCCTTTAACTTCATCCACCAATTTATAAAACTTTGCTAGCACATAAACATCAGGGGCGGATCCAGATATATTTTATGACAGGCTTCCAAATCATCTTCATTGATCAACCCTCAATTTTTGACCATCTTCTGACAAAAAAATTAGATACCCGTCAATGTAAACTTGAAAATCTGACCGTCTTCCGGAAGACCCAGAAGACGGCCTAAATCTGCCCCTAAACATATATATATATACACACACACCTGCTTG